TATGCGTACCCTAAATAACACTGAGTGGGGGGGGGGGGGCGGGCTATAACCATATATAATACTAATATACAATAATAATAATACAACATTTCTATTATGGACTAATAGGAGTGGAATAGTATATAGTCACTGGTGCCTTTCTTGTGCAGACAGCATTTGGGGATTACGTAACAACTAGATACAACAGTGTGATACAATTGTAATATGAGTAGAATAGTATTGAGTCATAATTCATAGTCTATTAGAGAACATACAACTAGACCTAATGGCTCGATGGAAGTTTGTCAGATGAATGAATAGGTACATAGTTTGTATGGTAAACCCTGAAACAAATTTCCAGGAGGGAAGGTCGTTGAGGGCTGTGTGGTACACACCTCAATCTGATGCTTTTGCTTGTGCAGCTGAACATTCATCACCGACACAGACTTGATGATAGGGAACGTGTCACCAACATTGAAGTCTCTCACCTGGTAATCATAGAAATGCTGATTATTTTACATCATACACACAGACACACAATATACATTATATATATATAGAGAGAGAGAAGTAAAGTCACACACGAACACCCGTGTAGATAAAAACAAAGTCAAAGTATAGAATAAGGGTGTTTAAAGTTTAATTGACGAGCTGCATGATGTAAGCTCGTCAATTAAACTTTAAACACGGCTTATTCTATACTTAGACTTTGTTTATATATATATATATATATATATATATATATATATATATATATATATATATATATATATATATATTATATATGCATGCATGACATTATTTATTTCCTTTCTCTCAGCAAATGTATTTGTAAATGTAGTTTCTCGCACCCCGTTTGTGTATAAACCAAAAACACTCTGCTATGCCGAATGTTCTTCTCTGCTATTAGAAAAGCTGGGCTGACTGAATTCTGCAGAGCTTAAAAATAAAAGCTTGTATTTGATAAAATTGTATCATTTAAAGGCGATTAGATAGACATATATGGATACAGTCTGAGAAAATTGCAGGAATGCAAAATTGCATTAGCAGGATACAACACGAGTAGTATGCTCCATTTCAAAAACCCATTGAATAATGCATTTGGCATTTCGATTAGAAAAGCAGTGTTGCGGGGAACGGCAAACAGGAAAGCAGACATTTACTATACCGTTATTTGCTCTAACAGTTTTCCAGTCGTTGTTTTCTGAAGCAACTCCTCCAGTTCTAAGCTTATCTTCTTTATCACCCATCTGAAACAAAAAAATTCACCTCCATCTTATTCGACAACACTAGGGGGTGGTTCCGAATTCACACGTCAAACACAAGCTGATGTACGTTATTGTTTATAAGATAACTTCGCTATCGATAAATAAACCTTGATACCATACTGTAAGAAGCTGATGGGTCAATAGAAAAAGGACTCCATTAATCCTTGTCTGCAAGTAAACTTTGCACAGCTGCGTATCAGTACAGCCAGGTTCCTATATGTTAACGCTAAGTCTAACGCTAACTCCTATCAATGCCAGTGTATACATACCTTCTAAATTTCTTCGTCTCTTTCAGCTCTCTAAACAGGAACTGCAGGATGAGGTTCATAGCGTTGCATGACTCCGTTTCTTTTTGGAGGTTAGTGTTTTGTAGCAGCAAAAGGATCTCCTGCAATGCAAAACAAAAAACCCTGAGCGGTACTCATTATGCATCCTAGATCCTTGGCAAACATATGTACAGGAGTGAATAATAATTGATTATTATAATAATTAATTAATTAATTAATCTAGTTAATTAATCTATTCACTCCTGATATGTACATAGCCCAGGTGCACTATAATACAGTCAAACCTCAGTTTCCGGCGATCTCTATAATACGGCCACTTGTCTGTAGCTATCATACAAAACTCCTCCACTAAAAAAAAGCTGTTATAATGTCTGTTCACAATGGCCACCTGCTCAATGCAGCCAGCAGCCACCGATTTTATGTGTCCTGAACAAGCTTTGGCCGCACAAAACAGCCAAATTTCGGGGTCCCTCAAAGCAATCATTAGATCAGCGGCATTACCTTATATTGCTCGCTGATGAAAATGGAAATTTACACAAGAAGACGTAAATACTGATCAAGCTGCACATCACGAGAACAAACGTTTGAAAAGAGTTGTGTCAGGCTCCGAATAATAGTGTTATAATTTTAAACACACATTGCGTGATGGATTTAAAATGGCCGTTTGCCTGTACAGAAAGGACATCTGTTCATTTAAAGGCCCATTTTTGTGGGTTTCTCAAGTGCCCCTTATATACAGGTTTGACGCGTTCAGAATTGGGTCTAAATTTGCCAACATCGTTCGTTTGAAACACTCTCCTACACCTTATCAGCTATAATTCATTTACCTTATTTGCTTATATTTGCCTTATTGGCTTTATTTAGTTCATAATTCAGACATATATTTCCCTCATTTGCCTTAGTTGTTATTTGCCTTATTTGCTTTATTTAGTTCATAATTTAGAAATTCCTTTCACTGATGAGCGACCTAGCTACTCGCGTTTATAATGAATATTTTCAAGTTACCCACTCAGTCCGATATCCCCAATCTGCTGCAAACTATTGCTGTAAAGTCATTGTTTCGTTGGTTCATCGCTAACCCTATAGCTCTATGACATTTAGTGACAAGCTCGGTAAATCCACACACAGTAAGTGGATGCGGTTCCCATAGAGACAGTGCATACATGTCTCTATCTGCTTCACACGTGTACACTCAGTGTTTGTGTGACCAGTGGTAAATATGCACATAAGCCAAAGGTTATATTATTTTATATATATCGACACTCTATGTCTGCTAGCTGTTCGTCTGCCTGAAATACAGAAGATTTCGTGGCAACCGTTGCTAGGAGATTGCTTGCGATTTCATTAGCTATCCTTAGTAAATAAAATGGTGCTGTTTATATAGTTTTTATTACACTATATCAAGATATCAAGTGCTAAGTTATCACCCAGTTCTTATAACTAACCGTGTTAGTTGTCGTAAAAGCATAATGGAAAAGCCATCAGTGGTGTTTCAATGTTAAAACATATAACAGGGTAATATCACATAAAATATATACACTGCTACCTTGCGTGAAAAATTGACGCTTGCTGAATCAACAACAAGTTATAACTAACTAGTGGGGGAACTGGTTTTGATATGAGCTCCATTTCAAGGACCATACACAATAATGATGCATTTCCAGGACTTTCCAAACCATTTTCTCCTGATTTTTTTCCCAACCCTCATTTTGAAATTTCAGGACTTTGCATCTTTCCATGTTTTCCAGGACCCTTGCGAATCCTGAAATCAAGTAAGCCTATAGATAAGCCATCAAAACCACGATATCGGCAAAGACCGTATATACAATTGCATACGGTATGATCGTATACGGTCTTTGCTGTCGGCACCCACGCGTTCATTGACAGGGCTTCCTGCCTCACGTGCATTGAATTTCATCCTACGGTTGCTCCAGGCAACCACCCTACGCTGAAAACTAGGGTGAGGTACTGCACATCTCTCGCAACAATTGGATCACACATAACTGGTGTGTGGACATCCTTTGTTGCCCACAGAGAGAGGGAGAGAGGAGGGCGGATGGGAGGGGAGGATGAAGGAATAGAGAGCAAGAGACCGAGAGAGAGGAAAGAATCGCAAGAGAGAGGGGAATGGTGGCAGGAGGGAGGGAGGGAGGGAGGGGGGAAGGAGGGACGAACGGAGAGAGGAAGGGAGGGAGGGAGAGGGGGAGGGTGGTGATAGGGCGAGAGAGGGAGGGACAGAGGAAGGGAGGCAGAATAGAAGGAAGCGAGAGAGAGAGAGGGGGGGGAATAGTCGGTGCAGTACTCTAATGTGTGCAAGCGCAATAGAAAGCAGTCATAACCAACAGTACGCAATACTAGTGAAAGAATTAGGAATACAAATGAAACAGGCAATTATTGTTGTTGCCACTCATTATAACTTGAACCTAATTTGATTCCTCTCTCACAGCAATTCCATTTCTTCTACTCCTCTCTACCCTCCACCCCAATTCCCGTTCCTTTACTAGCTTCCACAACAGACCCTACAGTCCCCGAGCTACCATTAACACCATCCCCCATACTTCTCTCTACCCTCCCCATCGCTTGTTCTTCGTCCTACCCCCACATCATTCACAGTACTTCTCTCTACCCTCCCCATCGCTTGTTCTTCGTCCTACCCCACATCAATTCTTGTGCAGAACTCTCCTCTCCGCTACATGCCATTTCCTGCAGCCGTCCCCTACACTCCATCTAATTGTACCCCTCTCTAATACTATCCTCAATCCCATTTTCATGGCTTCTGCGAGCTGCGACATTCCGTCTTTTCGCAACTGAGAAGCAAACCAAAAATAGTGTCGACCGCTAGAAACGAGTTAATTGCGCAGTCGAAGCGTTGTTCGATCTCGGGCTGTATGCCTACATTCAAGCATTAAATAAACACCCGAGCGAAAAAGCTTCCTGTGGTAAAAAGCACTAGGGTGCTGGCACCAGGGGGCATATATATATATAATATATATATATATATATATAAATATATATATATATATATAAATGCTGGAAACTATGCTATGCGTATGTACGATTGCAATCAATTTAAGTATCCTAAGGTATACTTTTTAATGAATGCAACATTGAGGTTATTACCATGATTCAACTGAACCTTTTGTTTGAATAGCAACAGACGTTTAACCTACCTGACTAATAATGAGGTTTGTAACCTGTGGTATTGGGCGACCTTGAAATTGTGATTCCACCTCGAAATCCATTTTCGGTTCCTGCAAAAACGATTTCATGTGATTACCACCTTCTGTATTTATGATGCAAGAGTTATGTTGTTATCTACTCACTGTTGTTCCACTTACGGATATTTACTCTACACTACAGAATTAAAATGCGTAACTAACAAAATTTACTATGATACATTGGACCATTTAACAATATTTCTTCACTTTTGACACCTCTCACTCCCCTGCTCCCCTCATTCCCTCCTTCCCTCTCCCTCGCTCCCGCCTATCTCACGCTATCCTATGTGCACCTGTTTGGACAAATCATGTATCTTCACCATCACCGCTTTTCACTTCCATCATGTGACTACCCCTCCCCTCTCCTCTCCCACACACTGTCTTTACATGCCAAAGACGAGTGTGCTTTCGTCACACCATTTTATTCATGTTATTACACTTTGTCGTACCCTTTTCCATGTGATATAATAGTACTACTCGTTATCGTTCAGCTACGATGTTTCTAACAATAAGCATCTGATGTCCGATCATGTGATTACAAATTAATTTCCCCAAAGTGCATCCAAGTGGCACCTGGCCCACTCAGCAATCAAACTGATCTCATCGTAGTTTCCCAGTATTTACATAAGTTGCTACAGTTTTCTCTATCGGAATGGGTAGTTCACTAAGTTCAGGGTTGTTTAATTAAGAGCATAACTGTGAGCGTAAACATATCTATACAAACCAACCAATCTGTGCATATACATACAATCAGGAGTTAACGAAGACAAAGTTCAATGATTGTTAATGAAGTTAATGAAGACAATGTTTGTCTTCATTAACTCCTGATACAATCAAGAGCTAATAAACACCTAATAAACACAAGGTATTTATTAGCTCTTGATACAATACATGTATCAGGAGCAAGAAGATAACAAGTCTGTTATCGCCTTGCCCCTGATAGCACAAAATAATTTGCTATCTGCAATCACTGCACTCACCTCGTAGAAGGAGAACGACCAGTGTGTGTAGGGTTCGCGTGTCAGCCGTAACCGAGCCTTGCCCTGCAGACACGTGACCTTGACAGAGAGAAAGGCCGTCTTGCCGAACACCATGTCCACGTCTATGGACAGCTGGAATCCACCGGCATAGCTCACTTCCGCCATCACATCCAACTCCTGGAGAACACGCACAACAATTAGATATAATACCTTGGTGAAAGCTTACGAGATTACTGGAAAAATGTATAGTCAGGATAGCCTTTCTTCTGCTGACTGCAGTTGGTGGGTGAGTGGTGGTGGGGTGGGGGAGGGACATAACAACTAGATATAACAGTGTGGTGGTAGATTGTAACAAGAGTCCATATACAATACTAATATAACTATAACCATATATAACCATACAGCCGCTTATATACAATGGGCTAAAAATCGTTGTATGCATCATTTAGGATTTGTGACTCGCGCTCGTGTTTCACTCTAACTACCAAAACTTTCCAATATATCAGGAGTTAATAATAATGACGAATTTGTCACGAAGCTAAATTATTAGTTCCTGAATATATATATATATATGCTGTGATAACGCGGGTGGTACACTGGTGTTAACAGGGCCTATGGCGCAGAACAAAAATAGCAAATAAATGTCATTTATCTCATAGTATTATCTCATGTATCTCAACAGTATCTCATGTAAATAGTAAATGTAATCTGCAGGCACGCACACACGCACGCACGCACGCGCACACACGCAGGCACGCACGAGCACACACGCAGGCACGCACGCGCACACACGCTGGCACGCACGCGCGCATACGCAGACATATAAACACGCACACAGACAGGGGTGGTGACCAAAGGCAGGAACGAGGGGGGTTACAGTCCACCCTTCCCTCGGGGGAAAAAAATTCAGTACCTCATCGCGAAATCTACTAAAATAATTGACGTCGCTCTTCCTCTGTAGCGCTATGCTAGTCGCAGTAACTATTGAAAACAATTCGGAAGATGAAATGTTTATCTATCTGTGCACTAGTGGGGTACCCGCATGTTTTTTTGCGATCAAAACGTTACGTTTCAAAAGAAAGTATGGAATACGAAGTGCTACTTGAATAATGCAGTAGTAGGGCAATGTTTTATAATGAGAGCATAATTAGTCTAGCGTAAACGACCACTGCTCTGAAAAGTGTAAATGCACAATGTTGATTTTACGTAACGTGAGGAAACGTAGCGTACACATAATGATTTTTTACAGGGCCACATAATTATCACAGCATGAAATAATCTTATAATAAAGACGCAGGATACTGTGCACTGTATGCGGGTAAATAAAGAGAAATGTATCGGATGCAAGGGTTCACATAAGGAAACGCAACGTAACGTAAATAAATGTATTAAACATAAGTCGGGGTGTCATGGAGGAGGAATGGGAATGGCTGGAGCAGGCCATTAGACCGTAAATAACTATGCGGGCCTGCAAGGAAAGGATACTATGGGTATATCGCATACTGAAGAACATTTATTGTGTAACCGGAAATCAGAACGTTTACAAGTGAAATATATACGGTAGTACTTAGAGCAATGAGGTTTTAGGCTGGTGTATACCATACAACACGCATAGTTGCTACAACATATATAATACAAACCACATCCAGAACAGTTACAACAGTAACCGAATTTTTATAGGGGAAGGTAATTAGCATGGCATGAAGGAGAAACATAATAAAGGCAGTAATTGTACAATGTTGAGAAATGTGTAGAATGCTAGGGTGAACATACCGATACATAACGTACAGTAACGTAACGTACCATAAATAACAATTGTAACATAAGTGATGCTATCAATATTATTTTATTAATAAGCATAATATTACGGTAGCATAGTAGAACATGAAATAGTAGTGCAATAAGGAAGTGACGTAAGTGCTAAGTCAGTTAATAGAACTACGTTTAATTAAATGTTTAAACAGAATAAACATATCATTGCCGTAACCCAGTTACACTGTATTATAGAATGCTCGATGCATGGTCCGGTAAAATATTGCAGGCCGGCTTACGTTCACCTATGCTACTGGTGACAATGTACCACACATACCGTAACGGTTACCTGTATAGGGTGCAAAGAAATGATGTTGGGAAAATATCGTAGGCTGCAGAACATTATAATTTTTAATAGCTGATTGGCTATGATTGCTTCACGGATTGCTAACTCCGTGATTCTACAAATTCTGTCGACGGAAATGAAAATCTCCTTAGCCTAGAACCTAGCTGGCCGGGTAGACACACAGTCTGTATGGTTGATTGATGGCTTGGCTGATATTTTGAGTCATGGACCCCTTTGAGAATCTGGTGAAAGCTACTTCACCAGATTTTTATGTGCTTCACCAGAAAAATGCGCATAAGCACATAAACACACAATTTGCATGCGCCTGGTTCACGGACCCCCCTGAAGCCCATCCACGGACCCCAGACCATGGACGGGTCCATATGGACCACAGGTTAAGAACCCCTGGTTTAGGATGAGATCCGGTACCTAGGCACGGACATTGCGCTAATACTATAGATAAGATATACTATCTATACTATAATTTGGCTAATCTTGTGTGTGTGTGTGTGTGTGTGTGTGTGTGTGTGTGTGTGTGTGTGTGTTGTTGTTGTTGTGTGTTCGCTTTTCGCCGATTATTGTCACCCAATCTCGCGCTTACTGAAGACTTATTCAGAATCCACCACGTCTGGAGATTGGTTGCTGGCTGGAAAAA